TAATTAAAAATGTCCAAAAAATAATAGTCTTAAACGAAAAAAATGATCATCTAAGACTAAATTAAAAATTGTTAAAAAAAACAATAGACCTATGATGCAAATTAACTCTTTGACAAATTATACGATAGATTATATTAAATTTGTATAAAAATATATGAGTTAATACCCAAAATCGTCCTCGACTATAGTGGTTTTTCTCAATTTCGTCCTAAACGACTTTGGTGACCTAATATTGTCCCACACTTTTGTGTTTTGCTCAATTTAGTCTCAGACTTTTGTGTTTTTGCTCAATTTAGTCCCTCATTTGTTATTCTGTCCATTTGGTGTTAAATAAATAGACAATTCAGTAATTTTAATATTGGCATCTCTTTACTCATAGACATGTGAACTGCGAAATCCCTTTTTTTTTTTTACGAATTACTCCCAGAATTACTCCTAAAACTGCGAATATAAAATTTGATTCGCAGGTCCGGGAGTAATTCTGGGTGTAATTCGTACAAGAAAGAGGAATTTCCCACTTCACAAGTTGAAAGTAAAGAGAGATCAATATTGACATTACTGAATTGTTCCTTTATTTAACACTAATTTGATGGAATAACAAATGGAGGACTAAATTGAGCGAAACACAAAAGTGTGGGACGATATTAGGTCACCAAAGTCGTTTAGGACGAAATTGAGAAAAACCATTATAGTCGAGGACGATTTTGGGTATTAACTCAAAAATATATAATAAAACTTACTAAAAATAAATTTACACTCCGTAGCATATACGGAGTATAAAAATTAAACATGTAAAATGTTAAAAACGAATAATATATCAATCATCCACAACTACGATGTACAATAATCGATATAATAATCTAAGAAATTTGGGGTAAAAGGATGACGTTTTCTTGGGATGTGTAACACGTGAATTTTTTATTTTTGGAAAAACATAACACGTGAATTAAGAACTCCTTTCCTACCTCTATTTTCATAGTTTATTTTGCACGTGATATGATGGATGCCGTTAAGCGCGTTGGCGTCCGGTCCAAATAAGTTGACTAATACTCCGATATAGGCTACTCTCCCATGAAACTATCTTATGAGTTTCCATTCGTGAATACGTGAAGCGGATAGAATTCTTCATCAAATCTAAAACGAGATTATAAAATTAATTTTATCCTCCCAAATGCTCTGTAGGTCGGGGTGTGGGGTCCTTAGCGTTGGGGTTCAGTCTTTTGAAAAATTAAGTTATTAATATGAATTACAAAATATTGATGTAATTATTTCTTGAAATAAATAGTTAATATTATTTTAATTTTAATCTTTTTTTTATTTTTTTTATCTTTTACCCTTTATTATTGATGAATTTATAATGAGGACAGTAGAGACAGCTACCTCCACTGACTCTCTCCCCTTAATATATATTTATACGTACATATCACTAAGAAATTCAACAATTATTGGAGTGGTCTTGAATATGGCATGAAACTTCATGGGTCTGAATCCCATTGAATAGCACCTCTTCTCACATTTTAATAAATTAAATATATTTTTTTAATTTTACTTTTTTTGTGTGTATATTTTAGCTTCTTTTTTTTATTTTATTTTAACTCTTCTCACTCTTCAATAAATTAAATATTTTTTTAAAGTCTATTTTGTTGTGAATCATTTAGTTAATGTAGTCCACAAGTTTATATTATACTATATCGTATTCAAATTGATTTATAAAAATTTAAAGTTGATCTAGTAAAAAGAAAATTAAAATTAAAGTATTTATGAATATAATGTCTTTTTATTCAAACTATTTTATCTAATTGATTACGTTTTCTATTTTGCCATTAATAAATATTTTATAACATTTCAAAGTGCGTGTTTTAGAATTTCACTCTACCCAAGTATAGTTTATAGTTTTGACTCCGCGCCCTAACTATCATGTAGTCTATCATGAATATCGTATTATTATTATTATTATTATATAATTTATAATGTATTTGAATCATATTATTGGTGGTTGATATTTTGTCATTGACAATTTTAAAGTCATTTGAAATACGTCCTCACTCACATACTTTTCTGGATCCGCCCCTATCCGCTATTATATTATTCTCTTCCCTTAAATAACCCCGCATTCCGTTAGTATAAACTTTAGTAACGAACTATTTAGTTAACTATTTGTTATTCTTAACGTACTCATTAATTTCTATAAGAAAGGTCTTAGGTTCAAACCACATCCCAGTCAAAGTTGGTATAATTGTTAAACATATATTACGAATATGTTAAAATGTATTTGAAAATCATTTTATTGCATTAAAAAAAAAAAACAAATTTATGTTAAGATTTTTTTTGTTGTTGTGTAATTAATCTTCTTTTAATTATTTAGAACGAGACTCAATATTTCAATTATAGTTTTGCATTATTGGAATGATTTAGGTCATTATTATATTAATATTTTTTGTTTGTATTTCTATAATGGTACAATTGTACATTACTTTACAATTATTGTACTATTATTTTTTTTTGTCAAACAAAATTATTCTTAAATCATTGTCAGACATGTGCGACCTAACAACAAAGTTGTTGATCAGAAATACAACTACATCTGGATTCAAGACGGTAGGACCATTGTCCAAAGATGAATTGACAATGTTGACATCCCACTAGCTCCAATTGAACAAGTTTACACATCATTCTCATAATTTTAGCAATGCATGAAAACTTTTAAAGAAATTTGTAAGTTAATTTTTACTATATCATTATAACAATATCTGTTGTAACCATATATTTCGAATTATTTATTATCATCCTCTATTGACAGCAATTATAGCAATGAGTTTTTTACACTTTTGGTCCCACGACTATAGTGGCACTGGCAGAGTTGATCCACGATTTTTGAACCTTGCAATTTTAGTCCACGACTATTGATTTTTTTGCAAAAATGGTCCTTCCGGCCACTTTTCCGTCAAAATGTCACCGGAAGAAAAATTTTCCATTTTTAGCAGGGGTAAAATTGACATTTGACTTGTCTCCAAAAAATAAATAAATAAATAAATTGGCGTTTGACTTAAAAATAGTACTACTCCTCTTATTCACCAAAACAACAAACAAAATAACCCCCCCCCCCCCCCCCCCCCCCCAAAATTTCTTGAACCCTACCTGCGAACAAGACGCCATTGCAGATGCAGCAGAAGCATAAACAGGCATTTCGAAGAAGGCCTCCTATCGATTCAGACACGTCCGAGTCAGAGTTAACTCAAGCAATTCTGAAATTCGAAGAAGCTTACGAGCAAGCAGAGAATGCAAAGTTGCAGCAGATGGCGGTGATGGAAAAACAGAGAATGAAGTTTGTAGATAATGAAGTTTGCAGTAACTAGGAAGCGTTTTAAATTAGGTTGGTTAGTGTGCATTTTAGGCAAATGACTAATGCTCTTGTTTCTTTTACTCATTATGAATGTTCATGTTGTTGAATAGAAATGTGTAGGATCATTTTAGTTTGGCAGATCTATGGTCAATGTTGAACATTGTTGTATCATTATGTTACTTGTGAAACTACAGCTCGTGTAGAAAGATGAGAAAAAAATTGTAGTTCATTAGTGATCAAGTGAAATTTAATACTTCCATCATGCTTTCTACTGTATATGATATGCAACATTATCTTCTGCATGTTGTCCCCGTTGCTGTTTTAGATTACCCACAATCAATTATCTGTCGTGTTATGCTCATCAATAGACAAAAATCCATCAACCATAGACAAAGAAACCATAAACAGCCTGCTGTATTAACCATAATCAATGTTAACAATTTTAAGACAACAAAACTGCATTGGCAGTATAACAACAGTTTTGGCATCATAGTTTGACAAAATAACATGCCTAAAATCATAAACCATTACAGTTTTGGCATTACAAAAAGAATCATAAAAACCATTACAGTTTTGGCATTACCAAAAAAACCATAAACCATTACATCAGTCAATTTTACTTGGAACTAGATTTGGTAGAACACTTTCTCTGAACTGGAAGTTTCACTCTAAAATTAGTTTTGTTCTTGGCTTGAATTAGTGGGGCTTGAACTTGGGCTTGAAGTGTTTCTACATGTGCTTGAACTGGTGGGGTTTGATCCGAATCTCCTTGGGGTTGAACTGAATCTGATTGGGGTCTTCTGCTTGGGCTTGTTCTTGCATTGGCAGTATAAGATCATCCAAATTGAATGAACTTAAAGCAATATCAAAATCATATTCTTCTTGTGTTAAAACATCACGGGCTCCCATTGCCTGAAACCATAAACCATAAAACATAGACATTAAACCATAAACCATAGACAATAAACCATAAACCATAAATTATTGTGGCCAGACTGTTTGCAATTGGAGCAATGTAATTTTATTTGAGACCTTGCCACTCTTTCTCCATCATTTTTTATCTTGTGACTTGCTGTCTCACCTGCTGACTTTTTCTTTAATATTTGTGGCCTCCCTACTCTGGCAGTGTACACAGGAGGTAGGGGTGGATTTCTTTCACTTATAGGCCAACCATTGGTCTAATACATCCTTCATAAATCTTCAAATATGTATCTTTAGAATAACAGGGGTGGATGTAGTCAGTTACATGGCCTTTCCCATGCTTAAGCCAAATTGCACGAACACCATGCTCACATGGAATACCAGTGAGGTCCCACTTTCTACATGAACAGGTTCTTCTTTGCAAATCCACTCTATGTTGTGCCTCATACATACCTCCAATCTCAAATAAATATGTGTCACATTGATATCCTGTATAACCAGCTGTTTTTTTCTCAATAATCTTAACTTTCTCCACAATCCTAGGGCAAATACTGCCAGTCCACTTACTCACCTTTTCCCTATTGGCAAATAGCTTGGTCATTAGCTGCTTTCTGATTAATCCAAGGCATAAAATGATAGGTTGTTTACGTGCATCAATAATTACAGCAATAAAACTTTCACAAATATTGTTCACCAACATATCACAATGAGAAACACTTGTGAAATGTGACCTACTTCATTCTGTTGGACTCTTATTAGATAGCCAAACATATGCATCCTCATCCAATTGTCTAAGTTTTCCAAGTGCAGTTTTATATTTGGGCACAGTTGTTGCTTTGGCACAGTCCCATAGTGCATCCTTCAATGCCTTTCCTTGAAATCCCGCAACCTTCATATTCCCATGAAGGTGCCTAACACAAAATCGGTGCTCAACTCTAGGCAAAACCACTTCAAATGCTTCTATTAAACCCTTTTGTTTATCTGACATGAAGGTAAATTCATGTTCATTCCCCTCACTGATTTCTAAGTCTTTTTTTAAGAATTCTAAAAACCACACCCAAGACTGTTTTGTTTCACCCTTAACAATGGCACATGCAACAGGGAAGATTGAGTCATTAGCATCAAGTCCAACTGCAGTCAGAATTAACCCCCCAATTCCAGACTTCAAATGAGTTCCATCCACTCCCAAGATTGGCCTACAAAATTTGAAACCTTGCCTATATCCATCCCAACACATGTACAGTATAAGGAATTTGTTTCCCCCACAAAGTTCAACATTGTCACTGAGCTTCACCTCACAGATTGTGATAGGATTAGTCCTGATAATTTCTTGGCAGTAACTCCAAATCTTTTTGAAATTATCATCTAGATTACCCCTAATTTGAATTTTAGCTTTCTTCATTGCTCTATAAGCTTGATGTGTACTAATATGAAACTTTTCATCTTTACACACCTTTTGCCTAAATTTTTCCATTTTCCAGTCATCATGATGTGCAATCTCCTTACTCCACCTCTTTGCAACTACAGTTGACGTTGCTCTTGAATTCTCAGAAGTCCAACAACATCTATCATGTTTATCTGTCAATCTAAGGATGCTCCAATTCAAAGAATTCTGTTGCTTTCTTAGAGTTACTGTTCAAGGACAACTACTATCCCTACATTTAACAACTAGTCTGGCTTTGTCATTCTTAACAATTTTTACATCTTTTCCATTGTTAAAGGCATAATTGGTCACAGCTTCCTTAAACTCTTCTTTGCTAGAAAAAGTCAATCCTAGGATTAAATGAGGCTCTTTCATATCAGTAGCTGCCCTAAAAACAGGCCACTTACCACCCTCTACATCACTATCTGAGTCTTTTAATGATGTATCATCAGATAGATTAGGTTCGTCCAAATTTCTCTCCCAACTATTCACACCAACTGGTTCACTAGAAATACCTTCTACCCCACCAAACTCAACTGTAGAATCCACATTCTGATCAAATTCAAAGTCATCAATATTTGATATGTTACCATCTATTTCATACTCACTATCAGTATCATCACTTTCTGCATCATCGTCACTACCATTATCACCTAAATTATAAAAACAATAATCAAATTGTTAGAAGAAGAAATGAATAATTAGCGAAGACATAATAGTAATCAAATTGCTGCAATTATGCACAACAAAACAACAAAAACAATATGTTCACTTGTAATAAAATTCACTAGGCAATTTTAAATATTTATCACAATTTTTTAAGGAAATGTCTGTGGGTACTGAAATAACATATGGTAACTCAATGGTGCCAGACAATGGTTGTGAAGAATATTTGAACCATATTTAAGGCATTTACTGGTTCGAAATACAATATTTAGATTTAAGCCATTTGTTCCAATTTTCCAACTCCAAGGTCTGTTGCCTGATTTAAGCCATTTGTTCTAGTTTTACAACTCCAAGGTCTGTTGACACTGGAGTGTGGTCCCCATTCACAGAACACATGTCACATGTTACAAGTAAACATTATAAATTGATTACTGGTCCCCAGAACACATGGTCCCCATCTATAATACTACAGGTTTGCAATACACTTAATATAAAAGCATATTCTGCACTTTTCGTACTAGGCAAAAAGTATATAATACACTGGAAACTAGTATAGACATATCAACAAAATTCATAGCAATAACATCATACAAACACCCACAAATATAGACACAAATATTTTACAAACTAAAAGTTTGGACATTGAAAACTTACCATCACTCCTCAACCTACGCGGAATCATTCTTGAATTTTTCACACTGGAGAATCAAGCCACGAAATCCAAGCGACTATTTGTGACTGTTGTTGTCTTGTTCGCAGGTAGGGTTCGGGAAATTGGGGGGGTTTTATTTTTAAGTCAAATGCCAATTTATTTATTTATTTTTTTTTTTTTTTTGGAGACAAGTCAAATGTCAATTTACCCCTGCTAAAAACGGAAAATTTTTCTTCCGGTGACATTTTGACGGAAAAGTGGCCAGAAGGACCATTTTTGTAAAAAAATCAATAGTCGTGGACTAAAATTGCAAGGTTCAAAAGTCGTGGATCAATTCTGCCAATGCCACTATAGTCGTGGGACCAAAAGTGCAAAAAACTCTTATAGCAATTGTCATTGACAAACTCCCAAAACAATTTATCTCAATAACAAATGGAAATAAAAAATCAACGACTTCATTGTTGTGGATGAAAAGTAAATACACCACTCTATTATTCCTATTAGATTAAATAAATTAGTAGCTCCTTTTAAAAAAAAAATTAGTAGCTACAACAAAAAATAATATATATGTATTCTTTAATTTAGAATTAGATGTCTATAATGAATATAGAGTTCGAGCCTTTAATGGGTAAGTGGTTAATGATTTCAAGTTTCAAACCGAAGAACATTGTATTCGAAAGTCAACAAATAATTTTAGAGCCTCCATAAATGGGACAAATTTGTCACATGGTGAATCGCTTTTCTTTAGCACTTTGAAAGAGGAGGTTGAAATTGAGTACCCAAATACTCTATTAAAAAAGGTGGTGTTGTTTAATTGTGAATAGTTAAACCCAACCCCAAATACCGGTATCGAATTTGATTCTAATAGTGGTTTAGTGGAGGTGCGTTGTAGGAGACGTTAAAGAAAGTATGATCCTTTTATAATTTCACAAAATGGATGTACCTTTTACAGGACGTTTGGTTGGAGGGAGTTTAAATTCCCTTCCCACTTAATGAGTTAATTCCAAAGGCCATAAAATTCCTTAGTTTGGTTGGAAGGAATTGCAATTCCCCCATTTTCATGGAATTAAAATCCCATGTCCTCCCCCCCCCCCCCCCCCCCCCCCCCCCAGTATTTTAATTCCTAGGATTTTAGGAAGAAAAAAAGCTAGTGATGAGACAAAATTATCCCTCCTTTTTTTTTTTTAAACCTAAAATTAATACCATAACAATAATTGACATTTGGGACTTTATACTACTTATTCCCTTTCAATTCCCATGTATACCAAACATTGGAATTAAAATTCCCAGTAATTCTATTCCCGTAAACCAAACACTAGAATTTAAATTCCCAGTAATTCATCTCCCATGGAATTGCAATTCCTTTCCCACGTAATTCCCCCTCTTCCAACCAAACGCCCTGTTAAGGGCGTAACAGGGCGTTTGGTTGGAGGGATTTTAAATTCCCTTCCCACTTAATTCCCACCTAATTCCAAAGGTCATTAAATTCCGTAGTTTGGTTGGAGGGAATTGCAATTCCCCCATTTTCATGGAATTAAAATCTCATGCCCCCCCCCCCCCCCCCCCCCTCCCGGGATTTTAGGAAGGAAAAAAATACTGATGAGACAAAATTACCCTTCTCTTTTTTAACCTAAAATGAATGTCTGATCTTTCCTTTTAACAACAATGGGCATTTTGAACTTTATACTACTTATTCCCTTTCAATTCCCATGTATACCAAATATTGGAATTGAAATTCTCAGTAATTCTATTCCTGTCAACCAAACACTGGAATTTAAATTCCCACTTTAAGGATGATGGATGGAAGTCAACAAATTAATCATAGGAGTTTGAAGAAAACCTGAGAATATATGTACTTATAATGATTTATAAGGGTATTTTTGGATTAATAACAAACATTTTTTCCAGATGGGATAGGAATATCTAATACCAAGGAAAACCTTGGGAATGGCTATTCCCATGGTAAAAGAAATATATAGCTCATTCCGTGAAATTTTGTTCCAACCAAACAACGAAATAGATCTATTATACAGCGGGATGACATTCCATTCTCAATATATATATTCCACAAACCAAACATCACATTAGTGTGTTTACGGTGAAGTTGTATGCATTTATTATATTATGTTGCAATATAATGTAAGTCAAGAATAACGAGAATTTAGTTGTCACACATAGAAATAGATAAACTTCTATCACAAAAACTTTCTCAGATTTAAACACAAAAATAGATAGTTGTGGTATCTGAAGTAACTTACCAGGATAATTAAAATTGCTATATATCTCAAAGTAATATACATCTTAGGAGGATATATATCTCTAATGTGTATTAAGTTTTACCACCACTAAACTGAGTAGAATTCCAGTGTAGAGTCATTTGATTTTGTTGTGCTTATTTCCTAACAAACCCTGTGTTATGGGAATGGAATCACCAGGTGTTAGAGTAGTATAAAGTAAATCATGGGAGTGTCACAGATTACCTTAGCTCAATTTCACCCACCAATAGGAGTGATCGAACTAGTATTTTACCTTAGTGCAAACTAATCATCATGAGTAATAACAAGAGATTAGAGAACAATTAGGAATCCAATAATGCTAAGTTCAAAAACATGTATAAGATAATGTTTTAGGAAACACTTGATCATACAATAAGGAACAAAAAACATTTATCAAATTATAACACATGTAAACGTCTTGGACCAAATGCCTAAGGGAGATAAACAATGAGTTCATAATTTAATATAATTAAACAAGTCGATCTGGAGAAATTGAAATAAGTTGTCGCATTGTACACAAAGGATTAATTAGAAACATACCCATCCACAAGCCATTCCAATGTTTTTCATCAAATCATTCAAAGACTTGAGGTTTTTAGTCAATTCCATTACTTGGGCTCTTAGAACATTATTATCAGCTTCCAAAATTGCACACTTCACCTCCATCTCAGTAGCCATGCTAGCAATGCCCACATTCAAAATTTCCATTCTAAAAACTTCCTCAACCAAATCTTCCATAAGCTTTTGCTTCTTCATTCTTGATCTCCTTGGATATTCCCTACTTTTCTTCTGCTTCATCTTCCTTTCATTGTTACTTACAAAACTTTGCTTATTGTTTTTCGATGTTGAGCTACTTTCGCTTTGACTTAAATATGACATATTTCCTGCAATTAATTAAATTTATGGGTTATCCTTCAAAAACATAGAAATGGATACTTGAAATAGGGGGTTTAAAGGAAAAAAACATAGGAATGGAAAAGAGATACAAACGAGAACAATTGAAGGATCGACGGAGACGATTTCCCAAAGTAGTATTACCAATCGCTAGCATTATACATTGATTTTCTTCTAAAGAAACCTAAAATTTATACCAAAAGCACCACAACTTTTCGAAAAATAAGAACAACATAATGAGGGCGGAAAACGTGATCTTAACAAATAAGTTGTTGAACAAAAAAACAATCTTCACGTGAATAACAAAAAAAAAATTAAAAAAAAAATTAAAAGATCCTGATATTCCGTTATGATAACACAATAAATTTAATTTAATTAATTTGGTGAAATCCGGTATTATTTATACAAAGGGAAAAAATAGTATTTTCACCCCTCAATTATGTAGCTCTAATTATTTTAATACTTGTATTATAATCATTTCATAATATACTCTTAACTTTAATTTACAAAACATTTGTTATTATCACCCCATGAACAATGGAATTGTAAACCTTTGTTGCAATATGACATCTTTCTTTCTTCTTTTTTATTTTTTTTTTATTCGCAGGTGTATTTGGTGAAAATATAGGGACAGGACCAAAATTAATTTTTAGTAGGTCGTGTGAACAAATCTTACGGGTGTGAATAGACTTGTTAGTTTTTTGAAAATTTTTGTAAATTAATGATTTTGCAAACGTTAGATACTTTTGTGCAGCGAAAATGTTTATAAACCCTTTATATATATATATATATATATATATATATATATATATATATATATATATATATATATATATATGGATACACTCAAGTGCAAATAAGTGCCCAGGAAGGAATATGCGAACGAATAAACACGCGACACGTGTCCAGATCTAATAGCTTAAAAAAATACGATGGCATTTTTGTAAATAATTGAACATCGAAGTGCAAGTAAAATCACTTAAAAGTGCACCTACTTTCACCTATAAGTGCATGTAATTTTGCCTTGTTAGCATTCACTTCCCGCAAACATTCATGCACCTGGGTGTGCTTATAACTATGGGTGCAACTATTTATAACTATAGGTGCAACTACTTATAACTATAGGTGCACCTACTTTTACCTATAAGTGCATGTAATTTTGCCTTGTTAACATTCATTGATCGGAGTTCAGCAGGTAGTAATATCCCTGAAAATCACCCGCAAACATTCATGCACCTAGGTGCAACTACTTATAACTATAGGTGCACTTCGTATTGATACTCAGTGTAAATTTTTACTTGCACCTATAATACATTTTACATGCACTTGTAATACATTTTACTTGCACTTTGATGTTCAATTATTTACGAAAATGTCACCGCTCTTTTTAAAAAAAATCAGTGTTTCTCATCCATTAGATCTGGACACGTGGATGGACAGAATCCATTCCTATTTCGCTCCTGGGCGAAGCATTCGCACCTGAGTGCAATTATATATATATATATATATATATATATATATATATATACTAGTTTTTTACGCGCATTGCGCGATTGGGATAATGCCCAATGTTTTTCTTAAATAAGTATTTTAAAGTATATCAAGGCAAGATTATATTAGAATTGTTCATGCATAGATAATTGAATGTTGAGTTTGTGTATTTAAATTGGTAATTCTAAGTTTACAAATACTAGATAATATAGTCAAGGTTGATTATAATTGTCAATAAAATAATTGTATGGGTATGGTTGAAACCAAATACGGGACATGAGGGAGAGCAAATAAAAATTAAAACATAAAATATTAAATATATACTAATATTGTTTGAGAAGATTCCGGCAATAGGATTTGTGGTTAGAGTTCTATTAAGACTTTAATATTAGAATTAGATTAATGTTGTAGTTATAATTCTATATTAGATTTTAATATTATAATTAGACTAACAGTGAATTAACGGTACTTAATGAAAAAGTTAACGGATCGGATAAATTAGGAAGTCTCAAGGAAAAATTAAAATCTGAATAATATGAATTATTCATTTGATTTAATAATTTGACGGTCATTTTTTATATCCAATATTTATAATTAAATAAATATTTGAAAGTATAGAAATGCAAGATTATATATGAGAAGTTCAACATAAGTAACTTAATGTCTAATTTGTTTATTTAAATATGTAATTCATAGTATATGAATACAATGTATTATAGGAGATTCATTATAATTGTTACTAAACTTTTTTTAAATAGTAACCAAGTATTTTTGTTGCAAAGGGTTCTAATATATATATTTAATGAATGCACATATATACAAGATCAATGAATGAATCAACGGTACCAATCCTTTAGGTATTTTGCTCAGTGTTCATTTAGTTCAACCATTATTGTTGAATAAATTATTATGGATAAAGAAATTCCTAATTTAAGGAATTTAGATGTAGTAAAATTTTAAAATTTTAATTATAATGTAACCCAAAGATATTGGACGATTAGTAAATATAATGTAACCCAAATATCAAAATGCTAAAGAAAGTGTTTTGGTTATTCAACAGTTTGAAGCAACAATTTCTTCCAAACCACTGAAAATACAAACATTGCAATTTATAATATTTTCATAACGTTTTTGAAAATGATTTCCCCAAAACACATCTATATTTTTTTAAAAAAAAAAATTATTATTAAAACAATTATTATTATTATTATTATTATTATTATTATTATTATTATTATTATTATTATTATTATTATTATTATTATTATTATACCCTAGGTCATTTTAAATGTTAATTTAAATAGCTAATTTTTTTAAATATCTTTTTACCAACCGTTGATATAATTCGCTAGTCAAATCCGCTAACGCTAACCGCAAACTGCGGATTGTCAAACAAGGACATTGCGGGGTAGTTTCTCACTTCAATTTGTTGTGTGATTTGAATACTCTCTTTGTCAACAAATCTCTCAAGTAGTTAATATAATTGGCTTTCTTAATTTAAAATTTTTAAAATTTTTCATGGTATTAATAGAATACTTGGTAAATAAATATATAGCATTATTTTGTATTATAACTTTGATATTTAATTAAAAAATAGTGCACAAAAAAGATAATAGCCAATGTAGTGAATATAATCAATTGATGAATTTGAATGTAAAGAATTTTTACATTGGAAAAAAATAATGACAATGTAACTAATGAAATTATTTCTCTTAATTAATTTATTGATAATGAATAATTTTTTTTTAATAAAGACATTGTAGGGACAATGTAGCAAATATAATCAATTGATGAATTTGAATTTTGAATGTAAAGAATTTTTATATTGGAGAAAAATAAAGACAATATAACTAATGAAATTATTTTTTTTATTTAATTTATTGATAATGAATAAATTTTTTTTTAAATAAAGGCATTGTAGACACATAATTCTAAATTAAAGAAATGCATATGTATTATTTTTTGTTGTAGCTACTAAATTATTATTTAATTTAATAAGAGTAAAATATATTACTAATTATGCCAACTTTGATTGGGATGGGTTCGAACCTAAGACCTTTCTTATTGAAATCAATGAGTAAATTAACGGTGAACTAACAGAAATTAACGGAAAAGATAATATTTAACGGAAAAGTTAACGGATAATTATATTCATTAAGGATAAATTAGGAAATCTTAAGGAAAAATTAAAATCTGATCAATCTGAGCCATTCATTTGATTAAAAAATTTGACCGCCATTTGTTCTACCCTTTATAGGCCTAACTCTCTTGGGCTCTTATTAGTATAGTAGATATATATATATATATATATATATATAGAAGGGTTCAGGTGCGGGTATAGCTTCCCGTGCGGTTGTGCGGTTAGATCTGAGCCGTTGATCAAATCTAAATCAACGGCTCAAATCAATGAAAATTAAAAAAAAATGCGTGTTTGGAAGAAAGCCACGCACCTTAACTATTAGATCTTAAGCACAAACTCACGCACATTAAGTACAAAACCCACACACATTAAGTACAAACTCACGCACATTAAGTACAAAATCCACGCACATTGTTGGACAAGAAGACGCACTTTTGGTAGACGCTTTTGGTTTTGGTAGACGCTTTTGGTCATTTAGACGTGATGCATGCTTCTTCATCCAACACACAATAAGTACAATCTCACGCACATTAAGCACAAAACCCACCACTTTAAATATTAACTCACAGACTTTAAGTTTCAACAACTCTGACATTAAGCACAAACTCACGCACATTAAGTATAAAACTCACGCACATTAAGCACAAAACCCGCGCACTTTAAGTATTAACTCACAGACTTTAAGTTTTAACAACTACTCACGTTAAGCACAACCCCACGCACATTAAGCACAAACCTCACGCACCTTACGCACAAAACTCACGCATCTTATATACAAAACTCACGCACATTAATCACAGATCCGCTCACCTTAATTTTGACCTAGATGCAAAAATTACAAAATTGCCACCGCGCCTTTTTTAAAAATTTTGGTTATCCTGGACATTGATTTAAGAGAGATGAATGGCCCAGATTAAACCGCACAACCGCACCTGGGCACCCTAACCGCACCAGAACCTAATTTTATATATATATATATATATATATATATATATATATATATATATATATATATATATATATATATATATATATATATATATATATATATATATATATATATATATATATATATATATATATATATATATATATATATATATTGACACATTTATCTTGTTAGAAAAGTTGGTTTGAATGTTTGATGATGGATAATAAAAGTGGAAATATAATGCAGTGAATAAAGAGAAACAGATTTTTTTTTTTTTTTTTTTTTTTGTGGTTCGACCAACTCGGCCTAATCCCAGTTATTATATCATAGACATGCACCACGGTCAAAAACGGTGTCGTTTCTTTAAGTAAAGAAACAGTCCACCGTTATAGTTAACGGAGTCCGCTTGTTTGGTGTATTAAATACCAACTGACACTACAGTATATCTAAACCGACATTGCAGTTATATCAAAATGATACTGTAGTTATAGTGAAATGAAACTGCAGTGTATATAAAATGAAACTGAATAACATTTCACATATTTGAGTGTATATTGTACAATGAAGCTGTAATTATATCAAAATGATCATGTAGTTGTGTTTTAATGAAACTATAGTGTA